ACTTGCGGTCTTGGCCACTTGAGAGCGTGTAGGAAGTAAGTGCGCAAGACTATCCCAGGTCTTAAAAATGCCAAAGAGCAGTGCCCTTAAAAGATTATTTCACTTTCAAATTCAAATTTCCTGATAATTTACTCATCCCCATGTCATCCAATATGTTCATGCCTTTCTTTATTCAGTCGAAAAGAAATGAAGGATTTTGAGGAAAATATCCTTAAAGTGGATTTCAACAGTTACCAAACGGTTGAAGGTCCAAATCACGCGTGACCTTTCCAACGTGATTACGTAATGCGTGAAGTCGAGCTAGTGCATGACTAGCATTTGTGGTTAAAAAGTATATAAATTATTATTATTATTTTTAGAAAATGACTGATCGTTTCGCTAGATAAGACACTATTCCTCAGCTGGGATCGTGTAGAGCCCTTTGAAGCTGCACTGAAACTGCAATTTGGACCTTCAGCCCGTTGATTCCCATTGAAGTCTATTATATGGAGAAAAATCCTGGGATGTTTTCCTCAAAAACCTTAATTTCTTTGCAACTGAAGACAGAAAGACATGAACATCTCGGATGACATGGAGGTGAGTAAATTATCAGGAAATTTTTATTCTGGAAGTGAACTAATCCTTTAACGCACACTAAAGCCACACTATTTGAATGCCGCTCCGGAGCAGTATTCAAGGCTTAGTGTATCCCATCATGCATAGGGGTGTAACGAATCACTCGTTTTCTCGATGCATCGATTACAAACCCTGACAATGCATATGATCGTGAATCATCGATTTCGGACAGTAATCGATTTAAATTTAAATTTAGTAATTCGATTTAAAATTTAAAACGCTAAGAATCGAATGGATCGCGATTTCAATAGCGATTCAATGCTTTCAAAATATATACACATTAAATTACTACAAGCACGAATTAATGGAGAGCTTGAACAGTGTTCGTGCCCTCGCATCTCTCCTTCAATCTCTCCACTATTTACCGCCTGTGACTGTCACAACTGCGCTCGCGCTCCCTTCGTCTCACTGACACATTTTTTGAGCAGCTGATGTGTGATCTCTCCTTAGTACTCGTGGCCAGTAATGCTAAAGTGAAGTAGTTTTGCTTTTCTGTAGTTTTTCAATGGCTCTCGGTCATACCGACGACATTACCTGAGCAGTCGAAGGCTGCGCATTTATTGCATGGACGGAGCAAAAATGTAAGTGTCTAAAGCAGTGTTTCCCAACCGGGGTGCCGTCTGTCGAGAGCAGGGGTACCGTGTAAAAAATCATTTTTAAATATTTTTAAATTGCTAAAATGTTCAAAAAAGCATCTATTATATAATAT